ATTAGTGAGGGCGTGACGAAGGGAGTGGAGGAGAGATTGAAGGAGGAAGTGTTAGTGTGAGAGTGATGGAGGAGGTTTTAGGGAGAGGGAGATTTCGGGAGGTGTTAGTGAAGGAGGAGTGGAAGTAGGTGTTAAGGAGATGTGAGGGGCGTCTTAGAGGGGAGTGAGTGAGAGAGGGGAGTTGAAATTAGGAGTTAAGGTGATACGGAGGGTGGTGTTTGGTAATGAAGCAGTGACTGACAGCGTTTGAGGATGAGATCGAGCAGGGAAGGGTGGTAGTTATAAACATTCAACTACGTTTATAACGAACACGCTTATAACGAAGTGACGGATACAACAAACTGTTTTTTTTTGTCCCGGCCACTTGCTGTATATATTCTTTAAGTTATAACAAACTACGGTTATAACGAACTGCAATTAGTGGTCCCTTTGAGTTCTTTATAACCGTAGTTTACAGTAGTTAAAATATACATAATCGAGTCTGTACATAATCGAGAATGTCACAAGAATGTGGGGCCCAACGGTGTTTCAGTCTTCAGTCTCACAGAGCTGATCGTCAGTTTTTGGAAACTAACATAGTTGGTTGAATAGACCATACATTAAACTATGTTTCATGGTATGGTGTGACATCATGTAGACTTTATACATAGCTCGGGTTTACAAGGATGTAATGACACCCTTTTCTCAGACATCAGTCTCGTGAAGATTCCGGGTTAGAATTGGTCTTCAGCAACCCATGCTTGTCGTAAGAGGCGTCTAACGGGATAGGGTGGTCAGGCTCGCTGACTTGGTTGATGCGTAGATCGATGTGCATGATGTCAATCACTGGATTGTCTGGTCCAGACTCGATTTTTTACAGACTGTCGTCATACAGCTGGAATATTGCTGGTTGCGGCGTTAAACAACAAACAAACAAACAAATCTCACACATCAACCAATGCACACTATGCCCGAGTAGGGGCTGCCACCTGAGGGTGAAGCCGAGATGTGCTGGTATGTCTAGATCCCAGCTGAGATTTGTTTAGAGGAATGAGTGGGGAATTGCGTCTGATAGCAAGTCTAATTCCACATTCCAATTCCATTTGTATATTTGTCAAACAAACTTAAAATAAAAGAACGTAAGTGTAAATTAAAACAACAAATTAGCTCGATAAACATGACACCGGGTGTCCTGGGAACGTGTGGGCCAGTCATGACACCATACCACGGGTGACTATTTTATTCTATTGATATTAAGCGGTCATTTTGTATTTAATTACACCAAAGTGTATATGAGATGATTCATTTCGTAATTAGTCGTGAAATTAAAGTTTTGGCTCATGATAAAGTATGTTATTTCGTGTGTCGTAAGCGTTCAAGATCTTTCGAATGACCTTTCCTCAAGTAAGTGAGTGGGTGAGTTTTGTTTAGCGCCGCTTTTAACAATACTCCAGTTACATTACGGCGTGTCAGCTTAATGTGGGAGGAGAGCCGAAAATGATGCAAGACTCAGACGTTTACCACTCTGGTGAAACCGACGAGCACGGGTATGGTGCTGACAACCCAAGAAACATAATCCGGGCGAACCGAGATTCGAACCCACAATCATAGGTTTCTGGCGTAACCAGGGATCGCAATTCTGCACAGTGAATCCCGGCGTCTGAGACGACTGGGCAACCCTCCTTTCTTCAAGCGGCACTAGACCCCGTCAATTGAGAAAAAAAACCCCAGAAACCAGTCGTTAAAACATCACGGTGTCCGTTAATTCAGAATGTCTGTCGTAGTCCGCCGTAGCAGGTGACCATAACCCAGACATAATGTCTCCGTGTTGAAACATTACACGATTTAGACCATATTTCCCCATTAACGTATACGAAGGTGTTTCCATGGTAACAGTCCGCGTCATTCACAACCATATCCTAGATTCATGTCTGTGAGTACAGTGCCAGATCTCCCTCGTGGCCACATACTTGAGAACCTGGCATTATACACAGGTTCTACAAATGCAAACAAACACTGACCTCTCACCTCTTATTTTGACGAGTGGAGACCAATGTGTACTTCTTGTCGGTGTGCATTGTTCAAGAAGTCAATAACCAGTACTCACGCGTTGTTTAGACTAGCTAAGATGATATGAGTGTGTTTAGATCTAACGGGGACAGTCGAAAACTTGACATGTATGGAGGAGAGGAGCCAGGATCATTACGGTAACTATCTTCAGGAATAACTTAGGTAAACCCAAAGCACCAGTTGTACATATAACCTTTATGTAGGTACTATTTTATTTACGGTTTGATAGGATGAAACCAAGGAACTAGGCCTCCAATCTGTGCCCCCAAACACCAAACTGTAGCAGTAATATGAAAAGTTTTCATGAATGAGTATATCCCTGCCAGTCCTTACCATTTCGTTTACGTTTTGCAACGTTGTAACGATTGATTAAAGAAGCTCGCTTAATAGATTTCTCCTAGTTTGGCTGCCGCATGTGGAACAAGGATAAGTATTTGCACAGGTTCCTGCAATCATACAAGGGAGCGTATACAACTTATGTAGCCGTCACAGGATGCTGAGTATCCGGGGTGGCAGAGTAGCCTATCGGTTATAGCGTTCGCTCGTCACGCCAAAGGTCCGGGTGCGATTCCTTACAAGAGTACAATGTGTGACGCAAATTACTGGCGTTCCCCTCGCCGTGATATTGAGGGAATATTATCAAAACCTCATTCATTCTTCGAGCCTCGACGTTTCTTTACTATCAAATGACAGGACCCTTTCTCAGTGGTTTTACGCCGTTTTTAACAATATTCAAGCTATGTCAGGGCGGGAGTCACAAGAAATGGGCTTAATACATTGTTGGAAATCGAACCTGTGTCATCGGAGACGAGCGAAGACTTTAACCACTAGGCTACCCCACCGCCCGATCCTTTCTCAGAGTGATGTTTCCAATATTTCGACGAGGACATTAAAAAATGGCTTCACAATTTGACCAAGAGGTCATTTATATGACCGCGTCTGAGATAAAGCATAAACATCAGACGTCCCTACAACAGCGCTAGGCATGCACGTTTAGAATGAAGGAAGGTGATCTATTTCCCGTACATCGAAGCCAAGCTAACAACTTTAAATGAAGGACATTTAGTCCATGTACGGAAGGTACACGTCCACACGACGGTGTAAATATGGGAGAGTTTTAATGTAAGAAAGGCAGTCGAGACGCCCATACAACAACTTCAAGTTAATACCTCTGAATTTAGGGCAGCTTCCAAGTGAGGAATGTGCACTGGGCGACCATTCAACGATGACAAACGTGCACCTTTATTAAATGTAGGACCAGTTCTATGTAAGGAAAAGACTGTAGACGTTCATACAGTGAGACCAAGTCAGCACCTTTAAATGTATCTCTTAAAGACAAGTCTTCCTCGTTTACCAGGCCCCAGATCGCGTGTTTTCTTCGAACGTATTGATTAAAGAGTTTATTACGTACGCATCATATTTACCGAGTGAAGCTGATGGTCTAAGTCAAAGACAAAATAAACACTTGCACTGGCTGAATATTTAACTGCCTGCAAACTGCAGGTATTTTGCGTGCATTTGTTGGCTTTTTAAAAAGCAAATACATGCCTATTGGAGCTTGAAGTAAACCATTTCCGCGGCGAGTTAGGAATGGGACGCTTAAGTCGGTAGAATATTGATATTTGTGGCAAGGTCGGTTTAGTAAGATATTAGATGTAATTAAACCAAGTGACACGGTGTTCGCCATTGTGAGACACACGTGGTCGCATTATATAAAGGGCTCTACGTGTAACCGTATTATCAGCACTAAAATGCTATATTTGAGTAGTGTCTCACAGTTTGGAATGATTTGCTACCAGTTATGTACACAAAAACTCGACAAGAAGGGGTATGACATCGGGACTATCCGAGAGAAAAAGAATTACTCCCACGTAATTTGTGATCATACTACTACTACTGCTGCTGCTGCTGCTGCTGCTACTACTACAACTGCCACTATTACTACTACTGCTGCTGCTGCTACTACAATAACTGCCACTATTACTACTACTGTTGCTGCTGCTACTACCACAACTGCCACTATTACTACTACCGCTGCCACTATTACTTCTAGTGCTTCTGCTGCTGCTGCTACCACAACTGCCACTATTACTGCTGGTGCTACTACCACAACTGCTACTATTACTACTGCTGGTGCTGCTGCTACCACAACTGCTACTATTTCTACTGCTGCTGCTATTACTACTACTGCTGCTGCTGCTACTACCACAACTGCTACTATTACTACTGCTGGTGGTGCTGCTACTACCACAACTGCCACTATTACCACTGCTGCTGCTACTACCAAAACTGCCACTATTACTACTGCTGGTGGTGCTGCTACTACCCCAACTGCCACTATTACCACTGCTGCTGCTATTACTACTACTGCTGCTGCTGCTGCTGCTGCTACTACCACAACTGCTACTATTACTCCTAGGCCTGCTGCTGCTATAACTACTATAGCCACTATTACTACCACTGCAGCTGCTGCAGCTACTACCACGACTGCAACTATTACTACTGCTGCTGCTGCTATTACTACAAGTGCTTCTGCTGCTGCTACTACCACAACTGCTACTATTACTACTACTGATGCAGCTGCTACTACCACGACTGCAACTATTACTACTGCTGCTGCTATTACTACTACTGCGGCTACTACTACTACTACTACTACTACTTCTATTACTACTACTACTACTACTACTACTACTGCTGCTGCTACTACCACTACTGCTATAACTACTACTGCTGCTGCTACTACCACAACTGCCAATAGTACTACTACTACTGCTGCTATAACTGCTACTGCTACTGTTACTGCTACTGCTAATACTACTACTACTACTGCTGCTGCTGCTGCTGCTGCTACTACCACTACTGCCACTATTACTACTACTGCTGCTCCTATTACTACTACTGCTCCTGCTACTACTACTGCTACTGCTACTGCTACTACTACTTCTACTACTACTACTGCTGCTGCTATTACTACTACTGCTTCTACTACTACTGGTACTTCTACTTCTACTGCTACTACTACTACTGCTGCTGCTGCTACTACCACAACTGCCACTACTATTACTGCTGGTGCTGCTGCTGCTACCACAACTGCCACTATTACTACTGCTGCTGCAGCTGTATCTGCTTCTACCACAACTGCCACTATTACTGCTGCTGATGCTGCTGCTACTACCACAACTGCCACTATTACTGCTGCTGCTGCTACTACCACAACTGCCACTATTATCACTCCTCCTAATATTACTACTACTACTGCTGCTGCTGCTACTACTACTACTACAACTGCCACTATTACTACTATTGCTGGTGCTGCTGCTGCTACTACCACAACTGCCACTATTATCACTCCTCCTAATATTACTACTACTACTGCTGCTGCTGCTACTACTACTACTACAACTGCCACTATTACTACTATTGCTGGTGCTGCTGCTGCTACTACCACAACTGCTACTATTACTACTACTGCTGCTGCTATTACTACTACTGCTCCTGCTACTACTACTGCTACTGCTACTATTACTACTACTGCTACTACCACAACTGCCACTATTACTATTCCTGCTGCTATTACTACTACTGCTGCTGCTGCTACTACTACTACAACTGCTACTATTACTACTACTGCTACTACCACAACTGCCACTATTACTATTCCTGCTGCTATTACTACTACCGCTGCTGCTGCTACTACTACAACTGCTACTATTACTACTACTGCTACTACCACAACTGCCACTATTACTATTCCTGCTGCTATTACTACTACTGCTGCTGCTGCTACTACTACAACTGCCACTATTAATACTACTGCTGGTGCTGCTGCTGCTACTACCACAACTGCCACTATTACTACTGCTGCTGCTATTACTACTACTGCTGCTGCTGCTACTACTACAATTGCCACTATTACTACTACTGCTGGTGGTGCTGCTGCTGCTACTACCACAACTGCCACTATTACTACTCCTGCTGCTATTACTACTACTGCTGCTACTACTACAACTGCCACTATTACTACTACTGCTGGTAGTGCTGCTGCTATTACTACTACTGCTGCTGCTGCTACTACTACAACTGCCACTATTACTACTACTGCTGGTGCTGCTGCTGCTACTGCTGCTGCTACTACCACAACTGCCACTATTACTACTACTGCTGCTGCTACAACTACCACAACTGCCACTATTACTACTACTGCTGCAGCTGCTACTAACACGACTGCAACTATTACTACCGCTGCTGCTGCTATTACTACTACTGCTGCTGCTGCTAGTACTGCTTCTGCTACTCCTCCTCCTCCTCCTCCTACTACTACTATTACTGCTGCTACTACCATTACTGCTATAACTACTACTGCTGCTGCTACTACCACAACTGCCACTATTACAACTACTACTGCTGCTATTACTACTACTGCTACTGCTACTGCTACTACTACTACTACTGCTGCTATAACTACTACTACTACTACTACTGCTGCTTTTACTACTACCGCTACTACTACTAGTATTACTACTACTGCTGCTTCTACCACTACTGCTGCTGCTACTACCACAACTGCCACTGTTACTACTACTGCTGCTGCTATTACTACTACTGCTAGTGCTACTGCTTCTACCACTACTACTTCTACTTCTACTACTGGTACTTCTACCACTGCTGCTGCTATTACTACTATTGCCGCTGCTGCTGCTTCTACCACAACTGCCACTATTACTACTGCTGCTGCTGTTACTACGAGTACTACTACTGCTGCTATTACTACTACTGCCACTTATACTCATACGTGACAGCTACCACAAGTACTACTTTTACAACTGTGTCTGATACTGCTATCACTACTGATACTAATACTACTACTACTACAACTATTGCTGCTTCTGCTGCTACTACTACTACTACTACTATTACGAATGCTACTTCTGCTACTACGGCTACTGATGCAGCTACTACTACTGCTTCTGCTGCTACTACTACGACTACTTTTACAACTGATAGTATGATAGTACTATTACGAATGCTACTACTACTACTATTACTAGTACTTTGCTATTAAGCATTACTACCACAGCTGCTACTACTACTGCAACTGCTCCTGCGTCTACTGCTACTGCTTCTGCCCTAATTCTGCTGCTACTGCAACTACTGCTACTACTACTACTACTACTACTACTACTACTTCTACTACTAGTATTACTACTAGTATTACTACTACTACTACTACTACTACTACTTCTACTACTACTTCTACTACTACTACCACTAGAACTACTTTTACAACTGTGTCTGATACTACTATCACTACTGATACTACTACTACTACTACTACAACTACTACTATTGCTGCTTCTGCTGATACTACTGCTACTATTACGAATGCTACTACTACTACTACTATGGCTACTGATGCAGCTACTACTACTGCTACTTCTACTGCTTCTGCTGCTAGTACTACTACTTCTTTTACAACTGACTCTGATACTACTATTACGAATGCTACTTCTACTACTACTATAACTAGTATTTTGGTATTAAGCATTACTACCACAGCTGCTACTACTAATGCAACTGATCCTGCTTCTACTGCTTCTGCCTCTAATCCTAATTCTGCTGCTACTGCTACTAATGCTACTACTACTACTACTTTTACTACTACTACTACTATTGCTACTGCTGCTGCTGCTACTACTATTACGAATACTACTACTGCTACTATTCCTCTACTGTTGCTATCAAGTATCCCTACCACTGCTGCTACTACTACTAGCTTACTGCTATTAATGTAAATACCACTGATGCCGATGCTGCTACAGCTGCTACTACTACTACTACTGCAACGTCTGCTGTTCCTTCCCCCGTCCCTCCTACTGCTGCTACTACTTTTACCACTGCTGCTACTACTACTACTACTACTACTACTACTATTACTACTACTACAACAACTATTACTGCCACAATTCCCACTGCTTCTACTACCAATTTTACAACAACTACTGTTACTACTGCTACTGCTGCAGCTACAACTACTACCACTGCTACCACTGTTACTACTACTGCTGTTGCTGCTGCTGCTACTACTACTACTAGTACCACTACTTCTACTGCTGCAGTTGCTGCTGCTTCTACTACTACTACTTCTATTCATGTTGTTACTACTACTGCTGCTACTGCTACTTCTACTAGTACTACTACGGCTCCTTCCACTACGGCTACTGATGCAGCTACTACTACTGCTACTACGTCTGCACCTGCTCCTACTTTTCCTGTTTCTGCTGCTGCTACTACCACTACCGCTACTTCTACTATTGCTGACACTGCTTCTGCTGCTGCTACTACTGCAACTACGTTTTCTGCTACTACTACTAGTACTACTACTTCTACTGCTGCAGTTGCTGCTGCTTCTACTACTACTACTTCTATTCCTGCTGTTACTACTACTGCTGCTACTACTGCTGCTGCTACTTCTTCTAGTACTACTACTGCTCCTTCCACTACGGCTACTGATGCAGCTACTACTACTGCTACTACGTCTGCAATTGCTCCTACTTCTACTGCTGCTACTACTACAACTACGTTTTCTGCTACTACTACTAGTACTACTACTTCTACTGCTGCAGTTGCTGCTGCTTCTACTACTACTACTTCTATTCCTGCTGTTACTACTACTGCTGCTACTACAGCTGCTACTTCTTCTAGTACTACTCCTGCTCCTTCCACTACGGCTACTGATGCAGCTACTACTACTGCTACTACTTCTGCACCTGAACCTACTTCTACTGCTTCCGCTTCTGCTACTACTGTTTCTGCTACCAATAATATTACTTCTACAACAAGAACTGTGGCTAATACTACTACTACTACTACTACTACTGCTACTGTTGCAACTACAACTACCACTGCTACTACTATAAATACTTCTGCTGCTGCTGCTATAACTGCTACTGCTGCTGCTACTACTATTACTGCTGCTGCTGCTACTACTACTGCAACTGCTGCTGCTGCTATTACTACTTCTTCTGCTACTAGTTCTTTTTCTACTACTACAACTACTACTACTTTTGCTGCAGTGGCCACTACTACTTACTTCCGGGCAGTCCCGGCTTTGAAGCGACTAATGGATCATGGGTTCACAATGCATGACATACTTGATGGTGTAGTATTAATGTTTCTTTCTATGCCACTTCAACCACCATCACCCCAAGGTATTCCTGGGTATTCGTACAGCAATGTTACTCTTCAACTCTGGCATGATATGAAGTGAGCTATCAGTGATACTATCTTCAAGAGCCCGGCCACTACATCGACACCATGTCCTGGTTGAGACACTCACAAGACAGGTGTTAAGGACCTCTGATGGAGTATGTACACGTCTGGCTTGATGGCTTTACATTACCAGTTAGAATTACCAGCCACCGACAGCCATCATCTCCGGTACAGCGACGACTTTGCGTTCTGCCGAGTGGTGGTCGTGGAACAACTTGCCCGTATTTCTCGCTGTAAATGGGTGAAAATCGGTTCCTATAGCAACCGGGATGAGCGCTTGTAAAACCTAAGAGGGGCTCCCTCGGCAGAGATCTAACTCTGGAGAACGCAAATTACATGAAAATATGCGTAATATGGAAATGACGGTGGGAGGTGCACTTATTTGTGTGTGAAGATAATTGCTGACGGGCACACATTGGTCATGCGGTCACGGACAGGATCCCCGTCCCATGTGACGTGTTGTCATGGCAATGGATGATTTACAACAAAGATATATCATATGGACTTCCAAATAACGTGATTGCATCAGCAAGTTGTACAAATAATGATATGACTGTCTCGATATCGGCGCTCACATGTCTGACATCGACCAGTTGACTTTGCAGAATATTTGATCAATCTGTAGATGACCTCGAGGGACATGTATTGTCAGGATACGAGGTCTGTAGCTGTAGAGCATGACAGCTCTTCCTATCTATATATTTACTTCCACTATCCACTAATATATCATGGCTTCACTCTTAAGTTAACCTGTCGTCCTTAATCTATGATTGTTTCCTCTCCCTCTCTCTACTGCACCCGGTGAATTGTTACTCATTGTTTCATTTCTCTCTTTCTCTCTCCACATCAAGCTCTCTCTCCCTCTCTCTCCTCAACTTCAAGTTGTCCATTACATGATTATTCTATATATCGCTCACACACTCTGTCACACACACATACACCCTCTCTTTCTCTCACCTCTCTTTCTCTCACCTCTCTCTCTCTGACCTCTACATCAAGCTGTGCATTATTCTATCCCCCCCCTCTCTCTCTCTCTCTCTCTCTCTCTCTCTCTCTCTCTCTCTCTGTCCTCTGAGTTGAGCATGTCGTCAAACGTGATTCACATTAACAAATTTAAACCTGGATAGATTTGGGATTTTCAAATTCTTTATGATACCCACCAGGAATGTTTTATGTTTCAAAAAGATCATACCATTTTCAAATAATGGTTGCATTTCTTAAGTGCAACTGTCGGTTGTTCTGACATGGTGATTGAAGCAATATTGTTTTGTGGAGCACACTGATAGTGACAACGCTGTCACAATGGTTGTGAGGCAAACAGTGTTGTTTTGTAACGGCATCATGGACTGGGACAATAAGCATCAGCTTTAGGCGGTAGGCCTTATTATGTGATGGCATGGATAATAAATGTGTTGTGTTGTGTAAGGCTAAGTTTAATCGACTTCTCCTTCGACATAATCACTTTAAAGTCCTTTTTAAAGAACTATATTAGATTGTATTATATGGCGCCGAGATCAAAGTACAGTCAATAAATGCAATAACAAATTTCGAAGCAAGTTGGAACATTGAGTGGGTAAAAATTTCATTTCATGCACTGTTAGAAACAGCGTTCATACGACAGAGAATGAATGGGGATTTTACGACATACAATCACTAAAGTTACTACCATATCACCACAACGGCCTATAAGCCGTCATCATGGTCTGTTGAAAAGAAACAAGTGATCACTAGTGTATCGATCCGTCACGTTGGTCTACGAGGGCACCAATATGTGCTTTTCCAGGTTATTTTCGGCATCGACAAGGGTCACCACACGAATCGCCACAAGACTAGCGTTCTTTGGGTACGTTAGTGGTAGACTGGTAGCGCTAAATCGTGCATCGAACCACAGTAAATACATTGACCATCCTCCAAAACAGTCAAGGCAATCCAATGGACTTGGCACCTAATATAGTAAAATGGTAAGTTCCTTTTCCGATTTACAAATTATCAAATTCATTTACATTCCGAGTCAACTGCACGATTCCGACGGCATGTAGATATGTATCACTGTCAACTAGCAATGATACCAGGGTTCGCGAGAAAGTGAAAAGAGGGCTTCTGGTGTACATGTATCATTACCAGAATCAAAGTCTTTTCTAGCTGTGGGGAAATACAGCCAGCACAGATGGCTGGAGCATGCTTCATGTCGTTGTGAACGTAGGGGGTTCTCGAAGTTTCCTTCAAGTTCAATGCAGTATTGGGAAGAATGACAAGAGGTTACTTGTACGTGAAGCCTCTATTGCTGTGCTGGCATTGGGCGACGGGTAGGCAGTCAACTCCAAGCCGTATAAAAATGTAGTCGGTATATAAACGTTTGAATTTCTGTTGTTCCACCTCGA